AGTGCAGCGGTACCTGTAACTGGAGGGTCCCCCACACAAGGCTAAACAGACTCTGCAAATTATGTATCTGCAGCTTCTAATCTCTTGGCATCGGCTAAGCAGCCCCCAGAGACGCTCACAATACGCATGCAATGCTTGCGGTACCCACATAGCGAGATGACACGCCTGTCTAAATAAGCAACCCAGTGGTTATTATCTCTTGTTATACAGGTGGACCCTCTACTTATCTTTAAAGCTTACAAGCGATGTTTAGTTAGGCTGACAGTGCTGCCTGGCAAACGATCTTGGACATACTCCCATGCTATTTTGTGCAGCCTACCCTCTCCCTATCAAGCATGTTACACAGGGATCTACCTGATTAACCAAATACCAAATTATGCAGTGTGGGCTATTTAACTGTCAGAATGAAGTTGTTATAGTGTGAGGAGATCCCAGCTTACCCAATCACTCTGCCCCTTCACTTCCGTTGCAGTCTGAGGCTTCAATGAGGAAGGTTCAGAGGAGCTGCCTCTGATCAGTAGCTCCCTATTAACATTAACTCCCCTTTTTCACTTTTTGTAAATGGGGAGTTACTGATAAGCCAAAAGTGTCCACTTGGTCCAAGACTTCCTGATTTAAGCCTCAGACTGGAATGGAAGTGAAGGGCTATAGTGATTAAGCATCGGATTGAAGACTTCATTAACAGTTTAAACCCTACAGGCAAGCCTGCGCCCAGAACCATCTCCCACCATGATAACTTAATTCTAATTACTTTGTTATGGTGCCTGAAATTTTCCTTAAATTTTGAAATCTGTTTTTCGGTTCACCATTTATTAACTAAATCCCATCATTAGGGTTAATGCTTATGAGTTTCTTTACATAGTGTTTCTTAAATGGTAACTCACTTCTCTGGAATCTAGACAACTGAATAAAACATTGAAAATCTTTTTTTTCGTGAGATACCGGTTTTCTTTTAAATTCATAATAAAGATATTGCAGATTACATCATTATCCAGTTCGGACTTCACAAAGCCAGGGCAAACATTGCAAAGAAGGAGGAGAAATAAATTCCTCATACTTTCTCTATGCTGATTGCCACATGAGAAGAACATTTAAGAACACAAAGCATTTAACAATGGTTGGCAGAGATTTAGTTGCAGGCACCCAGTTGACAGGGTTTCAATGTCTACATTTAATTTATTTTTCACATATTACTAATACATATATGATATATATATATGGATAAATAAGCAGAAAGCTATAAATCCTATGACAGTTTCCCTTTAAATCCCTTTAAATTTAGATTGTTAAGATATTATAAACTATCATTTGTCCTTTAATTACAATTACATCACTGATTCCGCTCTAAAAAGTCATCTGACCTAAA